CCTCTTTCAAGCTTATTTTTAGATTTTAAATGTTTCAATTTTACAAGAAATAATTTTGAAGGTTCATAATTGGTAGACCTCATCTTGGAAATCCCCGGGACCAGCAGCTTTCAGTGTTAACTATTTTGATTCAAATACTATTATAAAATTGTGATAACGAAATACTGCCGCAAGGAACAAAGACGACATGAAGTCTTCACTTAATTCTCATGTTTATTAGGACACGCTGTACTATGTAGATTCAGATAAATTTCTCTCTAGGGTTGAACTGACTGAGAGCATTAGAAAGTTTCTCTCCACACAGTAATTATTTTAAAAAGTGAAATAAATTTATATATTCTGTTATTATTTCATCTATCTATTACAAACTGAAGAGAGATAGTTATATATAAGACCATTCCCCTGGGACCTATTTAGCCTATAATGTGTCCTATATTGCTGAACATAATGAACAGCAAGTTATTAAAAAAATAAAGTAAGATTCCGAAACCATTCTTGCTTAAAAAAACGGAAAAGAAAAAGGAACAAATGGATGTGTTATTAAATAACAGTGACTTTCATCACTTTTCTGCTTAAAATTGCAAAAGAATTATAAGAAAAAAAATTTATTTTTATAGAAACCTCAGGAATTTAAAGGGTCTGTAAGCATAATTTCAAGTAACCTTTCATGCAAATAAGGCCATGCCAGATTCACAATGGTACACTTTATACATTCAACTCATCTAGGACGAACTTTTAAGAAAGGATCGTTTCATTTATGTTTTTTTGTCTTCCTTTTCATAACGAATTGATCGTTTTTAAAAATATGAAAATGTTAACATCCCTACACAACACACTTTTTTCCCCTCTTGATAAAGTTTGTACATATGATTTATTTATAATTTATTTTCTAATATTTTTATTTAACCAAAATAAACAAGAAAACACATGCAAGATTTTAAAATTTATCCAAAAGTTGTAATTGATTTAAGCTGCCACCAACTGATCAGATTCCGAAGCAATAATCAATTTGACTAACTTCCAGGGCACTTTGCTGCTTTATTTAAAAGTTTCCAGTCCCAGTCAGTCAAAGTATCGCCAGGGTTTATTTTGCATACTTTGGAATACATAACATCTTTATTATGGTTTTTAGCAAAGGTATTAGCCTCGTAGTGCATTATAGAATTGCATTCATATGGAGCATCAAATGTTTTACAGTCCATGCATATTTCATACTGTGCTTCCTTAGTGTCCTTAATATTGCTTGTGTCAACCCAAACATAATTGTCTCTGTCCTTTCTAGTTTGTGTATGCATCAGGCCAAAAACATGAAGAAACTCATGACGTACTACTTTCAAGTATTTAACGTTATCCCTACTGTTAGAACTACACAGTTTATGGCTCAGATTTAGAGTCTGATTTTGATTCAATGCCGCACCAGTGGTAACCCCACCAGCAACTCCAGTATCATATCTGTCATAGCAGTCCCTTCCAACCCTAAAATATGTTATATTCAAATTCTGATGCAGTAATGTTACACATTTTTTAGGGTTTCCAGTCGTAATTACGCGTAACACTTTCTTTCACTTACACAGGGGCATTACGCGTTTATTACGTTTATGAAAGAAAGTATAGTTACGCGTAATTAATGCGTAATTACGCAAAATTACATAATACGAAACAATTCCGTAATAAATAAAGTACATATTAATTCTCAGAAATAATTATAGCGGGAAAGAATGTAATAGGATATGACCACTATAACCATGTCAAACATATTTTGACGATTTTATTGACATTTTTTTCAAACAAGGAAGGTAAACTTGAGAAAGTAGGTTGAAATATTTAACAAGTCATTGAGAATTAAAAATTTATAGATTATGTATTTTTTTGATTAAAATAAATTGTTGGCCCTTTGTTAAACTTTTTTAGTTGTCGAACGTGAAAATTACATCAACATAGTATTGGCTGAAATTTCTGATTCAACTTGCGTGACATTATTTTCCTTGTGAGTTAGTTGTTTTATTTAAATTAAAAGTTAAAACTTCAAAATTTCATAGATGTAATTATTGCAAAATTTCGCAAAATTACTTTGTAGAAATTACGCGAAATTGAAGTTTCACTAATTACGCATAATTAATACAAAATTTTGCGAAATTACCTTGTAGAAATTACGCGAAATTACGCCGCAATTACGCGTAATTATAGTTTCGCTTATTACGCGTTATCATTGCGAAATTTCGCGAAATTACGTTGTAAAAATTATGCCCTAATTTTGCGAAATGGATATTTCCCTAATTACACAAAATGCTACGAAATGAAATGAAAATTATTACACGTAACTGCACGTAATTACGCGTAAGAGAATAATCTATTACGTTGGAAACCCTAACATTTTTCTACTTCAAAATTGAAGATAAAAGTGCTTGCTGTTTCAATGTATCTCTAATTTTTCCAATATACCACTTTATAATTAATATTGTTATTGACAGACATTTTAGAAATCGTCAATGGTGCTAGTTGTTAACAAGACATAAGTTGCTGCAAAAATTTAAAGATAACATTTAAAAACATCAGAACACATCAAAAAATATCAAAATGCGTAAAATTCTGTAAAAAAAAAAATTCCTGAAATTTCTGCAAGTTTCATGCAATTTTAAGCAGGAAAAAAAGATTAAAAGTTGCCATTATTTTTAAAACATAAATCTTTTAAACCGACTTTTTTCGTTAGTTAGCGATTTTCAAATTAACAGTTTTTGTCATTTGTTAACCCTATTCCTGTTGAGGGGGGTGGGGTAAATTTGTTATAATACACATCTTTATTTTTAAAATTTAAATTATTACTACTTTAACTACCTTCTATTTACCTGACATAAAGCTAATGTGAAAAATAAGGCATTTTATACATACAGGGGGTCAAGACCCCCAACGTATCCTGGTTTTCAAGTCCACCAGAAGGGATAGGGTTAACGGACTCTTCTGTTAATTTTGTTAATGAGTCTTTGCCCAGCTCTAACAACTCCTGATTTTTTGTGTATTTACGTTAAGGTTAAGTATTTCTGGTTTGTAGAGGTTGTTTCTTTAAATATTACACATGATCCTCTTTCAAGCTCTCTCATAACTTGTATGTAGGCACTCTGAAATAATATGGACTATTAGTTGCCAGTTGATATGTTTAGTTTAGTAAAATACAGGCCTCAGATTTCCTAAATATAGATGAAAATTAATTAAATCTTTAGATATGTTTCATTTAGATAACTTACTTTTGTGTGGCTATTAACTGATCTATCCATTATATATAAAACTGTTGTTTTCCCATTTACATTTCTCCAAGTAGAACCTGGACTGAACATTAAATGTAATTATATCAAAGGGACTGTAAGTAAAATTTCAAGTGACCCTCCATACAAGGATGCCAATGCCCAATTTACTACTGTACTCTTGAAATCTTAATCTGATTAAAAAAATGGAGATATTGTTGTTGGACTCGACAATTTAGTTTTGATTATTTCTCTTTTGCTTCTTATGCACATGTAAGAAATGTGCATAGTCATTCTTTCATAGAACCCAAAAATGAAAAAAAGTTTAGAAAACAAAAGCATGGAATATTTAATTCACACACTGCAATTCCTGAACTAAAACTCATTGGCTTGGGATTTTCAACATGTGATCTGTCATTATTGCAACTTTAATCCAAAAATGGTCTCCTCATTAGTTTGCTATTAACATCTATTATGCGATGTATGTATGAAACTGAAGTAGCCAAAAGCTTACAACATACGGCCAATATATAAAGATTAGAAAATAAAAGTTTGAAATCTGTCATTTGTCCAGATTTAAAAAGAACTCATTTAATGAATTTCTACTTGACGAACAGTCTCAGGTTTAAAGGGTTACGTCGTAAATCCGACATAGCCCTTTTTGTATGGAATTTCGCTTGAAATTGTGTTTACAGTTCCTTTAAATATGTGGTATCTAACAATGCTAAAGGTGAAAAACAAGTAGACCACATTTAGAAAAGCTCATATGATTTACAAACATTCGTATCGATCTAAAACTATGAAGAAAAAACGAAAAACAAAACGATATTTTTTGAAAATTACAAAACTTTTTGAAATTTACTTTGTTGTTTTGTTAACAAAGGTGGGTTGTTTTTAATTTTCCATGATTGTTAATGACTACCCTTTGTTATCAAACTTTTATAGACGGTCGAAAAACTTCAGGTCAGGGTTATTTCTCTCAATAAAAAAAAACATTTAAGACAACATTTATAAACTGATCTTTTTCGAAAAAAAAATGAAATGCCATTGAAATTGGAATTATTAGCAAAAATTTTGTCAAGAATGATCGTTTTAAGAAAAAAAACTTTTTGAATATGAGTAGTTTTTGAGATTGAATAAATAAAATAAATGAAATAAGAAACAGAAAAAACATGTAATATTACTTTGGAGATACATTGTAATCTTGCCCCCCATCTGGTTCATTTTTTATAGCATCATCATTGCTGAAATAGAGAAAATTTGTATTAGTTTATTATAAACATGTTTTCCCTTTTTTTAAAACGACTCTGATTGTTTTGTCAACAATGTCAAAGATTCTTAAACAACACATTAGTTTTAAAAACAAACATTTTATAATGTCAATAGAACTAAACTTTTAATATTTTTAAGATTCTAAAATGAAGTAAAATTGCTTTTAGAAACAATAATTTTAAAACTTTAAAATGAATAACAAATTTTGGTGGGTTTGAAAAATTAAAATTTGTTGATGATTGTTAAGATGCTTTATCAATAGAACTAAAGGTCAATTGGACTAACGTTAAATTTTACTAAAGTCAACTGATCTCAAACTGGTGTGTAGTCCATTTGAACATTATTCCATATGAACAAAATTTAACATTCAATGTCTTTGATTGAACTCAATTTTTTTACTGCAATCAAATAATTAGCCCGTTTTTTGGCCTTTGAACATTAGTTTAGTTGAACACTTTCTAGTTAGACATTTTTTCAAGGTTAAACAAGCCCTTTTCAGGAGTAATCAAAAAATGAAATTCTAGAAATTTCAGCTCTCTAGACTCTAACCTTTATAGCTTTGAGCAATGTCATACAATCAAAGATCTATAAACATTGATTTGTGGCAACTGTATAGTTAAACTCATTTATAAGAATACATTAAAAGAATCTTTAAAATGTCACACGTCTTGAATTTAAATATTAAGCAGTCTTGTATTTTTCCTAACACTCAAAGATTTCCGTTCGCAGCTTTACAGGGATATGTTTAATAATAGCATTATCAAAATTTCTGTGTTATTTCGAGAATGAAAATTTTCGAAATTCATTTTTTGAAAAGATAAATAAATAGCCCTGAAATGTGAAACATGCTAGCAAACAGTTTCATATAGTTGGGCAAGCTAATTTAAATAAAAACCCTTCATATTGTAAAAGAGGTGGAGTTAATCAAAATATTGGCCAGGGGCGTAAAAGAGCTAAATAGTGTTGGTGTGGGAGGGGGAGGAGGGATTTTTTTGTGCACCCCTTAAAATCCCCTATTTTGGAAAAAAATAGTTATTAGCTTTTATTTGTATTAAAGATCCTTATATCTTTTAAACTTGGGCTTTGCTTGCTTTGAGCAAAAGGCATATTTTTATCATTTTTTTGTCCAGAAATTAGATATGTTTGTGCGGGGCAGAATGCTAGGGTTTTATTTGTTGAATTTGTAAGTATGAAGTTTTTTTTTTAAACTAGATGGTTTACCCTTTTAAGTATTCTTGTTAATGCTGATTTTATTTCATAAATTCTTGCCACACGTCTGAAGTATCAAATAGGATACAAACATGCCTTTTGCCTATCTTATCTATACAGAGGTCAAGAGCATGTACATGATTAGACTGCAATGGACTATAATTTAATTACTCTTTAATAGTATTTCACTATCGTCCTACTCAAAATCGAAAATCTGATTTAAAAGTTGTCACTGTCAAAAATTTAATTTAATTACTCTTTAATAATATTTCAAGAATCTCTACTATCTTCCTCAATGAAAATCGATTTAAAAGTTTTCACTGTCAAAATTGAATTCAATTACTCGCTCACTGTCAAAATTTTGGTTTTGGACTGTAATATTATGTTTCTAAAATTAAAACTTGAAGTGATTCAATATGATTACACTGTCAAAACTCAATTTAATTACTCGCTCACTGTCAAAATTTTAAACTGTAATATTACGTTTCTAAAATTAAAACTTGAAGTGATTTAATATCATGTATATATAATTAAAATATTTTGTTAAGCCCTAAACCAAATGACTTAAACTGCAAAAAAATTCACGGCTTTCTTTATGCTTAGTTAAACTGAAACCGGGAACATAACTGAAAGCCAGACGGATCTAGGATCTGGTGATCTCGGATCTACACCTCACAACTGATAAATAACGGTAAAAAAGATTTCTAAAAAGCCCCGCGGAAAACTGGCAGACTGCTTTCACTCTCACTGGATTTTATATCTTTTTTTTTAACACAGAAACCAAGGGCATGCGCACGGACCTCAACGGACTGTAAAGGTTTAACCTTAATGAATCGTATCTAATCTGCATTCTCATTAACAAGATTTCAAGTTTTTAAATCATGCTCAAAATCGAAATCTGAAAAAAAACTTTTAAAATTTTTTTTATTTTTCTCCTAATCTTAAACTTGAATAACCAGCCTTTGGACGTAGTAATTTTTTAATATCACGTTTACACCTGTAAAGGTTTAACCCAATTGAATCTAATCTAGTGTATATACTTATTAATAAAATTTCAAGATTTTAAATTTTGCTCAAAATCGAAGATCTAACTCATATATTTCAATGCTTAAATTATAGATTTGATTTCACTAATAATTGCAACTATAGAAGTAAAATTTATTTTACTTTTATAATTATATTTCCTGGTTTAATTTAATAATTTTAAATACAGTTGTCCGAGGGAAATACCATTCCTTTAGATATTTCCTGGTTTAATTTAATAATTTTATATACAGTTGTCCGGGGGAAATACCATTCCTATAGATACTTCCGGGACAATGATAGAAAAGGACTTGGACATTTTCTAGAACAGGCCTCAACTAGAGCTAGGCAGGGGGAGAACGTTTTAAATCTAAAATAAACTTCCAAAAAATGTTGAAGTAACTTAGATTTCACTTTACATGATGTTTATAAATAGTTTAGGGTTACACCACCTCTAAAAAAGAAGAAAAACAAAATATAGACCCATTACTTCCCATCCCCCTCTCCCGCTTGTTATCAACTGCCCTCCCACCTTCTAAAATATAACGATCTCCTTGATGTAAAGGACCATGTATATCCAGCATCAGTTCTACATCAACTTCACACAGTTTCATATTGATCAACCCAGGTAAATATATTTTACGATACCATGATGATGCCATAATATCGAATTTCCAGGAATAACTAAAAGGGAGTGTTCCCGAATTGAATTAGGTTTTGATCAGGATTGGGTATGAGTCGTTTTTAACCTTTTAACTATATTCTCCCTATATACGCAACAGATAGAACTAATATTAATAGCGATCAAAACCGAACTTAATTCGGGATCAGCCAATTTTTCTTCCCAAATTCTAACCTAATTTTAACTTTGCAACCTGACATCGTAAATCTTTGATATTTCAAACTGTGAATTATGTTAGATCTAAAGCCGAATTTTATGAATTTAAACCCCTGTCCCTGAACCGCCAATCAAATGGTGCGCTGGCTCAAATCTCAAAGCACTGATTAAAATTTCAAGTTAAACCGTATCTTTAAACCGAGTGTCATGTTTGAACCAGGCACACTTGTTTGCAGAGTCCATTAGCGCCTAATCCAATCAGGGTTCAGTCATGTGTTTGTTGCCTTTTTGAACCAATAGCAATTGCATGACGGTAACATCAATCTTTCTATCCATCTCATCTTCCAATTAGAGATGAATCCTTAAATCGGCGCTAACACTAAATGAAAATATTTACTTCTCCTGAAACTGAAGTGCAGGTCTTTATGAAGTTTAAATTCTTTAAATTCGGTATTAAAGTTTGCATAATTAGATAAGTTTACAATACGATGTTGCAAGGATATAGGGATTAGAAAATTTGAGTTTGTGCCATAGACTAACGTTGCAACTAAATTTAACAAAAATATCTATACTTTGACTGAAGAATTTTCGTATATTGAGAATAATTGTTTTTAAGAATAACCTCATAAAAAAAACCTTGACGCATTTGGTTATTTGTGACACAAATGAACTAATCCTGATTGTTCATCTTAGCAACCTGATGGCGCAGACCTTAGATTTTTAAAACTTTGAATTCTGTTTTACAAAGTAGTCCAAAAAAAGTTTGAAACATCAGAGCTGAAAACTTTAGAATGGTGGATTTCGAGATTAATGCTTGATCCTCTCTTTTTCTTAATCTCGAGACTAACCTAATCTTGTACTTGTATCCTGAACAGTGTATAAAATTCAACCAATCAGAGTCGTGTATATGAAGCCGATAAATTTGAAATTTTCCTCTTCATTTAAGATTATATTGTAGCGACGCAAAATAACAAAGATATAAACGAGACTAACTGTATATATTTTGTCTAACTTACAACATGAGAAACTATATTGAATAAATATGTTTGGTTTGGTCTTCAGAGTTTCCGGCAATCAGCTGGTAATCCAGGGTCTCCACAGGGGTCCCCTCAGCATCGAGGTGTTGAAGAAGATGAAACACTATAACTAGGACGACTTTTGATTTCAATTTTTGATTTCTTACAAAATTTCGAACAGCTGGATACACATTACACAATACACATAAACATTGTAACAATAAGAAGCTACCACCAATTAACAGTTTCTTATGTTTATTTGTGAACTTGTAATTTGAAATTAAAACTTAAAGATATAAACGCCGACCAAATCTAGGCATCAGGAATTAAGCACATCAAATATCTAAAACACACTCTTTCCTAAGAAGCATAGCTAAATATGTTAAATAAATAAAATTCAAATATTTGGTAAAAAATGATATGACTGAAAAGAGAAAATTGTTTCAAAATTTGCTTATACTTATACCAAATAATGTTTCAACTAATAAAACCTAAAACTTTAAAAGTTAAATGGGAAAAAGTCTTGTTACTAAACTGTTTACAATGATATATGATAAAAATTAGAATTAATAATTAATATTTTTCAGTTAGTTCTGTGGATCAAAAAGAACAATGTCGATTTAAGTAAGATATTAACCCTATTTCCTTTAAAACATAGATTAATTACAATACAGAAAAGACGACATCTAGTGTTCTATCTGTATTATAATTAATCTATGCTTTAAAGGAAATAGGGTCTTTCACTCAATATAATTGTTTGTTCAGTAAAAATAAACGATAGTTTTTTAAAGTTTGTTAGAAAAAATAGTTTGTTCGGTAAAAAACAATCGTTTTCCAGATCTTTTGTAAAAATAGTTCATTCAGTAAAATGACAATATTTTTTTTCAAATTTGTTCAAACTATTTTAAATCGTTTTTTAATTTTTTTGAACCATCTTTTTGTTTATCCATAGTTCGTTTTTTTTTCTAAACGACACCCTTTTCCCCGAACAGTTTTGTTCGTTCTAAAAAAGTTTGTTTGTTCAAAACAACTATTACTATCTTTGATGTAAATTTAATATAATATAATATATCACTAAACATTTAATATTCAGGTATACCTGAAATTATATCAGCAGACCAATCCAGTTTTTTCAATACCAGGTGACTTTTAAATAATACAAAGATTCCAGGGTGCTTCGCGCCCCTCTTTCAAGCTTATTTTTAGATTTTAAATGTTTCAATTTTACAAGAAATAATTTTGAAGGTTCATAATTGGTAGACCTCATCTTGGAAATCCCCGGGACCAGCAGCTTTCAGTGTTAACTATTTTAATTCAAATACTATTATAAAATTGTGATAACGAAATACTGCCGCAAGGAACAAAGACGACATGAAGTCTTCACTTAATTCTCATGTTTATTAGGACACGCTGTACTATGTAGATTCAGATAAATTTCTCTCTAGGGTTGAACTGAATGAGAGCATTAGAAAGTTTCTCTCCACACAGTAATTATTTTAAAAGTGAAATAAATTTATAAATTCTGTTAATATTTCATTTATCTATTACAAGCAGAAGAGAGATAGTTATATATAAGACCATTCCCCTGGGACCTAAAATAAAGTCATACTGTAGTGTGTTCTATATTGATGTACATAATAAACAGCAAGCTATTGAAAAATAAAGTGAGATTCTGAAACCATTCTTGCTTTAAAAAACAGAAAAGTAAAAGTAACGAATGGATGTGTTATAAAATAACGGTGACTTTTATTACTTTTCTGCTTAAAATTGCAAAAGACTTAACCCTATTCCCGCTGGGGGGGGGGTCATTTGACCCCCCCCTGTAGTTTTTTTTACATAACTCAAAAATTGTTGGTGTTATGCTGTTGAAATTTTCTGACTTTTCTTACATACCCAAAGCCCTCCCTTTAGGCCTAAAATCAAATTTTGAATTTTGTTCACACAGCGTTTGATATATTTTAAAACCTGGATTTAAGATAAAGAATTAAATAAATTATTCTGATAAGGAGAGCAAAGGTATAGTATAAACAATTATTAGGAATTTGTTAAACTTTAAATTTTTGGAAACATTTTCCAAAGTCCAGAAATCCCTCAAAACAAAACAAGTTATTTTCCCTTCATACTTATACATCAAGTATTGTTGTAATTTCGTCTTACTATCCATTGTTTTCTGGATATCACTATATTTTACAGATTTAAAAATACAGAAATCCCTTAAACCCAAACAAGTTATTTTCCCTTTATACTTGCAAGTTGAATTTACACAACAAACGTCAGTTAATGCATATTTGCGCAGTTTACACGTTTCTAGAAATATCTTCCATTACACCTAGTTTGGATGCTTTCAGTTTCTTTTATTTAAATTCAATCACATGTTTATTTATAATTTAACAATCTTTAAACTTTTAGAGTTGTCCTTTTATTCTTTTTTTGTTTAAAACGTATTTTTCGACTAAAAAGAATACAAAAGAAAAAGCAAGAAAAAATATGTTTAAAAGGTTATAACTGTGATCTAAAGTCATAGTTTCCTGGGATAAGGACCGAATTATTAAATTCGTGTGGTTGAAATTGAGATCGTTAACTAACGGTAACTTTTAAAAATCATGGAAAATATCGTTAAACAAAAATTATGTTTTTATTAACAGTTGTAACAAACTGTCAACTAATAGCTTTAAAGGCGGGGCGGGTGAATCCTAAAAAAATGTAAGATAGCCTTTAATTAATAGAACTTCTTCTCAAATACTTTATTGAACAGCAAAACAAACAAAAATTATAAATTTCTAAAATTTATAAAGTGGCTTGGTCACCCTATATATTTTCAGATAAGATAACGAACTAGATGATTAAATATTCAATGAAAGAAAAACGAGAGATAAAACTTTTAAGAAATCAGCAAAAATTTGGGATAAGGGCATAAATTCATAAAGCTAAAATGCATAAGTGCTTATCGCGCTACTCTGGATCAAGTATTAATCTCTTAGTTTTCAGCAAAAATAACAGGGATTAGCTAGCTTGGATTTAGCAAGTTTGAGTTCTTGAATGTTTTAATAAACTTGGGTACGGGATTCATTACGGATGATGATCTTGTAGATGTACATGAAGTACTTGATGATGATCTTGTAGATGTACATGAAGTACTTGATGCAGGATTTCCCCATGTCTAACCTCTTTTTATCACTGAGATGTAGAATGTTGGAGGCTTTATCTTCTCTGTATTGAGTTTAATTCCCAAGCTAGAAATGAAATGAAATGTTATTCCGTTGTTTAGAAAACCTTGAACTATTGGGGATTACAGAAACCAATGTAGGTAAAACAAACAAGACACAAAATTCTTAATTTCTCCATTTAAATGAAAAAAGATAAAAATTAAGTTTGTTTGATATGACTGTTCTTTTTAAGGTATGGCAACTTTGGCTAATGTACTATTTGGGTTGCCGAAACTCAAAAACTTGCCAATGGTTAGTACAATATTTTAATATTTTGTTTTTAAAATTTTTTTATATCCAGCTTTCAATTAAAAAAATTTGAACTCTATAAAATTGATTACTCCGTTCAAACTTAAGTTTTCTATTTCTTAAATGAGGTTGCAAAGAAATAGGATTAAAATCATTGGTGTTTTAAGACGAGAGATAAGTTCCTTCATAGATTAATAGCAATACAGATATAACACCAGATGTCGTCTTTTCAAGATTTAGGGGGGTTTCGTTCACAATAACCCTGAGGCAGAAGCCCAAAGGAATTGTGTGTATTCTCTCTCTCTCTTGTCATTCAACGAGGCATGCGCATAACTCCTGAATAGGTATCTGCCTCAGGGTTATTGTGAACGAAAAGCCCCTAGATGTTTTTAAATGGCTGAAAGTAATATATATAAATTGTTATTTTTTTAGTTTTTCTATGTGATGTTTTGGAGTTTGTTGAGATGGAAGATACTCAGGTTTGGAGGAGGGGGATCCCAGTCCTAGATTGAAAATTCAGGTCTTTTGTGTTTTTTTTTGTTGTAATTTTTATCAGAACTGAGCAAAGACTATCCTACCATAAATCTAGAAAAACGAAAATATCTTCCAAAATATTAATTTAAAAAAAAGGATTTAAAAGTACAGTTTTAATAAAAAAAAAAGAAAATATATTTGACAATTATAGATCAGATAAACATATTTTAATCTTAAAATTACGCTTTTAATCCCTTTAATTTTAAAACTTCCATTGTTCTACTCTCAGGAGTTTTGTTGTTCCGAGATCTACCATTTTCACTCAAGAAAACAAATGACTCGAGTTTCCAAGATGTTTCCTTATATAAGGTTAGTTGTCCAGTAAAATAAGAAATAACAAGAATTAAATTCAATGAAAATTGTCTTCGCTCTATACTTTTATAACTAACATCGCTTTGCGAAAAAAAAGATACGCAAAACTTTCATGCCATTTAAAGCAGAAGAAAAGAATAAAATTTGTTCTTTTTGTTCAAGCAGGGCTAGTAGTTAGCGATTTTCAAAAACGTTAGTTCGTTAATGGAACTTTGCCTAACCCTAGTCTTCCTATTCTATAAGTTTTATTTCAGAGAAGTAAGTTTCTTCTACGATGGTGAGGAACT